TGAAAGTGAATCAAATCAACTTACCCAAACTTCTTACTAGACTATTATTATTATACATATAATATTTAAACAAATTCAATTGCCAATGTTCTTGCCGCGAGTTGTGATGTGAAATGTTTAACTAAATTTACCGGATATTTATCGTTAGGTGTTTAGAATTAAATCAGAAATCATGCTTTATTTTTGAAAATATGTTGGGCGTAATCGGTATATAATTAATGAATTATTCATCGAAAACAATTTATTTCCAAGAGCTATTTAGATTTAAGCTCACAAGAAACCGTAAATTTAAATCCTCGCTTTAAACTGCACGTGCGCCGCTGGCGATAGTTTTTAAATAATCATTAATTTGGCGAATTTCCAACTTTATTTTCAACCTTTGCATTCTCAAGAAAGTCTTGAGGAAAAACTGTCCCTTAGGGTCTTTTTTTGTATGTGGCTTAGAATTTTTTTTTCTATACGGTATGCTTGGCTATACTTTTACTAACGGTCAAGAGTACCAAACTTTTTATTATATATATGTATATTATTTTATAAATATTATTATATATTTATGAATAAATAAATTTGGCGCCTGTCAACTAGCAAAGTCGATACTCAATTAACATCGATAAAACATGCTTAATCTTGCTTTATTTATTTATAATTATTATTGAGTACCTTCCATTTTTGATTCCGTAGGATTTAGAAAAAGGGACCAAAATTATATTATCAACATTATCAGTTTGTCTTTTATATTCATTATACTTAATATAACTTTGTACGAAGTCTAAAATAGATACAACCAACTAAAAACTGTAATTTTGAGATGATGTTCGTTTATCTAATTTTATTTTCTGTCTATTTACTTTACTATTTAATAATCATCTGAATTCCTCCTGCATCGGTTGTTCATGAATTGAACTTGCTGACGTTTCACCAATCATCCTGTTTGGCTTCTTTAGAAGAACTGTAAATAGTGTAACTAAGCAGGGGATTTACTCAAGAACTACCTACTCCAACTTATTATGTACTTTTGAAATATGAAATTAGCAAATAATAATGTACAGTATAAGAAATGTAGTTGCTAAATCTGACCTCCATTTTGTTGTAACTTTACCAAATGGTCAGCATTTCCGGTTGTATTGCATGTCACTAATACGACTTTTTTCGGTAATTTTGAGACCAGTAGAAAGCAAAGCAGTTAAATGGTCACAAATTTGACATATTAATCAAAAAGTGTTTGTAATAGTGGGTTACGGTATAAAGACTATATTTATTCATTCATTCAAATCTAGATCTATCTATTGAAATTCGCATATAAGTATGACTAGTTCAGTGTAAATTAGACATATTCAGAAGTTTTTCGTGTTCTTCTCGAAATTAATTTTGGTTTTGCTAAGTTTAGATCACAGAGAAGAATTGTTTTGCTTTGGTGACAATCCCGAATATAGCCGCGCGAACAACGAACAACCGGCGGTCGTAGGTATACATATAAGTATGTCCAAGGAAGTGGCAATTGTTCCTCATTAATGTTGAAGGTCGCCTCTCTATCTCCAGGCTCTCTTTACGATGTTTAAAGCCGAACAAACTCGATGAAATAAAACACGTTTTCTTAATTCATAACGAATTGTAGTATCATCCAAAATGTTCGAGGAGGTGCTTAATTTTTTTTTTAAAGAGTACCCTTCCGGCAATGCAAAATAAAAAAATGTAAATAAATGGAAAGTAATTGTTCATGGGTTGACATATAAAATATGTCATATAAAGTATGTCTTAAAATTTCAGTGTATGTTGTTTTACAAATTACTAGACCCCGTGTCGCTCAGAACTCATTTTATTAAAATCACTGCGGTTACCGCCCTCTTAAATATTGACATGCCTTCAAACAAAACAAAAATACCCAAAAAGTGGAAAAATGTAGAGTTGACTTCTAGAACTGTCAAAATTTTCCATTTAAAAAAACCGTTTTGACTTTATTGGTTATATTAACTGAAACATAAAAGTCGCTCCATTTCGCATGGTCTTCAAATAAGGAAAGCCCATCAAATTAAAATATATTTGAAAACAACAAGGCATTTTGGCAATGGTGAGTGGATTCTCCTTTCTTCTACAAAAGTAAAAGATTTCAAATAAATTTGTTAATTGATTCTCAGATAACTTAAGGAATATTATAAAAAAATGATGGTTTTGGGTTTCAAAAGACTATACGATTGAAGCCAGAAAACTCGAGGACAATTGCTTATAAGAATTCATACATGAAGAATAATTAAATGTTAGGCAATAATATTCTTTTGTCATTTGGTTAGTAAAATTCTTCTTGAATTGAACGTGAATATTTTCTTTTTTTAAAAAATAGTATCTTTTCCTAAATAATGCTTTGAGTTCTACGTTGTTTAGGCTATATTTTCCTGTATAAACGATATTAAAAACATAAGAGACACTCATGTTTTTCTTTTTTTTATGGTTACGAGGAGTTTCGGCTAATAAGGCCCACTAATTTTTCGTCCCACTATTTAATGGGCCTTATTAGACGACACTGTGAAATATTCTTTTTCTACTCCCGTCTGTAAAATACCTAATTACCCACCGATCTAGCGTGCGGAAAGCGTCATTTTACCACGTCAGTTTCCTTTCCCATGAATCCGAGCCACTTCGGACATTTTCGGGGTTTTACCGCACGGATTTGGGAGCAATCGGATGTTTTCGGAGATTTTTCCCGTGCTTTGACTTTTGACGTTTGTCAATTCTGACGGCTATGCCAGTGAATGTATTCGTATTGTTTTCCGAAAATGTACCCAAAAACTAACGGTCGTAGAAAAAGTATAGTATGCAACACGTTCGGTAAACTTTTTAACTCACTCGTTTATTAAACACTCGCTCCACTTGTGCCAAATAAACTCGTGAGTCAAATGCCATTTACCGCACTTGTTGCATAATATACTATTTTTTTATTTAGTTTTCCATCAACGATGCCACCGCAATTTAAAAAGCGAACGAATTGGACTACAGAACAACTTCAAGCTGCCATTAGCGCAATATTAGATAACTAATTGCCCCAAAGAGAAGCTGCTCAAAGGTATGGAATACCAGGATCCAGTGTATTAACTGCCGATCAACAAAAACAATTTTCTGAAAGAATAATTCGTCTTTGTGAAATCGGAATGGCGCTAACACCATTTTTAGCACGTCGCTCTGCATACAAATTATTTTCAATGCGATTATTGAAAATAATATCAGGCATCCATTTGATGCTTCCAAAGGAGTCGCTGGTAAGGATTGACTCTATGGGTTTGTGAAACGTAATCCTAATTTGTCTAGGCGCAAGGCGCATCAAATGAACCCAGCCCGTGCCCAAAATTAAATAAATTTATAGTGGGTGATCACTTTAATAAATTAGCTAACTTTTTTATTGAAATCAATTTGCACCAAAAGTCACAGTACGTTTTCAATATGGACGAAAAGGGATGGCGAATAGCTATTCATCATCAAAAGCTTGTTATTGGACAAAAAGCAGAGCACGCAGAAAATGTGACCATTGTTGGATGCTGTAATGCGTTGAGAAATAGTATTCCACCTATGGTCATGTTTAAGCGGAAGCTATTAAAGCCTGAATGGGAAGAAAACCTACCACCAGGTGTCCTAGATAAAAAGGCCGAAAAGGGTAACATGACCAATGATCTTTTCATTGATTTTCTAAGGCACCTATATCGTTACAAGGATCCAGACTTGCTAATTTTTGATGGAGCTAGTCACCTGGACATTTCCATAACCGAGGTTGCAGACGAGTTGAATATAAGGTTGTTCTGCTTGCCATCTAAAACCACGCATGAACTGCACCCTTTAGATAAAGCGGTTTATAGGTCATTTGAACATCACTGGGACCAAGAAGTTCTCAGGTTTTGGGAGGCCCATCCACATCGCCGTTTAAACAAATCTCGTTTTGGCAAAATTATGTCGAAAGTTTGGCCTGACCCCAGAGAATATCTTGAGCGGTTTTCGAACGACAGGCTTGTATCCATTTGATCCTACTGTAATTCCTAAATCAGCTTTTGCCTCATCACTGAACGCCCTTACGCTGAGCGATATAATGGAAACAACGTTAATGATAACAATGTTAACAACGATACTGAGTCCAATAATTGTAACGATAATATTATTGATATTAATATGCAATCCAGCGATAATTCAGACGACCCTGAAGATACATTCCACTTAGTATGTTAAAAAATATCCAAGGAAAAGTGTCTAATAAAATCCAAAACGATGAGCGGTAAAAAAAAACTGTCAACACTGATAATACGATCTCAGATAAGACACAGACACAAGAAATAAGAGTTTAAAAAGAAAATTCCTAAATTACAAGGCACAGCTGGTAACCAAAAAACCTGTTTTTTTCAAGTTCTATATCCAGACCTACAATATAAAAAAAATAAGAAAAACAATTCGTAGCATCATCATCATCGAGGTTGTCGTTAAGAAAGCGCACAGAAAATGGTGTCCAAGAAAACGAGTCTTGGTATTGCTTTGTGTGTAACAAATCAGAACGATTACATATGCGAAGCTGTGTGTCTTGTGGCACTTGGTGCTACGAAGTATGTATTGGCTTCACAAAAGATGACAAGGACGACTAAATCTGCGTATTGTGATTAGATTGACTTTGTTTTTCTTTCAAAGAGTTTAATTTGCGTTATTATAAAAATCCTTTTATTTTGTTAGTTTACTTAGTTCGAAAAATATGTTTTATATAACCTGTTTTATATAAACTGTTTATATAACTATAATGACAGTTTTTGTAAAGTGTGTTAAATGTTTCACACTCCTTTAAGACTGAACGAGTACCTGTAATTTCATTTATGAGAGTCTGAATTAAGATATTTGTATTTCCTTATTTGTTTTTGTCTGTGTTTGTCAAATACAACAATTTCTTATTAACTGAGCCTTATTTGCTGCAGGTACCTTATCTTTCATTTTTCACCTAACTTTATGTATATTTTTTTACTCACGAGATTTGTTTTCAGACAAGTGCTTGTCGCTGGAGAGGCCGTCGGGGGGCGGCAAGGGCAAGAAGATGAGGAAACCGCGCACAATCTACTCGAGCCTGCAGCTCCAACAGTTGAACCGGCGGTTCCAAAGGACGCAGTACCTCGCTCTGCCCGAGAGGGCGGAACTTGCCGCCAGCCTAGGGTTGACCCAGACGCAGGTACGTCGGAGACGGTACATTTTCCAGTGTTGCGCAATGTTTCAACATGCTTTTTCATCAAAATTCCTATGTATAGGTGTATTATAAAATAAGAAGCGTTTTTGAAAGTTTTAAAATGTTTTGTAATAAAATTTGAACTATTTGTTTTTTAAAGTAACAAGAACTCTAACACCTTTTTTACAACCTAAAAATTAAAGAATGGCTTCCACAGGCCTAATTCCAAATCTTCTGGATTCCTCCTGCTACGGTTGTTTATGTATAATTCAAACTTGCCAGCGTTTCGCCAGTCATCATATAGGCTTCTTCAGAGCTTAACTGAAACTGTAAAACTGCGAATTAGTAAAAATTTTAGTAAATTTTGTGCTAGAGAATATATCTCAATTATATATTGAACACGTTACTTCAAAAATATATTGCAATGGTGTACTGTCCAAACAGTTTCTCAATTTTTTAAAGTTTTTGTCATATCTTACCAAAACTTCCTTCTTAACAAGACCGACTATAATTCTGTTAAAATTAAATTCGGGTCCTGCTCGAACCGCTTGAAAAAATATTTCTCACAGTTCTTCGAAAGCGGCAACGTGGATTTTGTTGTAGCCCAAGCTGCTAATTAAAAAATATACGAGGAACTCAGTATCTTCAATCTGCCTATTAACTTTTAATACAAAAGCTAATTTAGCGGCAAATATTTTTTTTTCGCAAATCGACCCACCTCTCGTGTCTATGGGATGCGATAGAACGATAGTTGTACAAAAAAATGAAAGTGTACGTGACATGCATATAGGTAAAATAAATAAAGGATTCTTCCCGGATATGAAAAATAGGTTGAATGTTAAGATGAATGTAATCTTTCAGTTTTTTAACTCATTCCATTCCAGGCAAATTATTTTATGTATCGAGGGGTTCGCTATGGCTACTTTCTATGACCAATCGATTATGAGGCAATTCATAAAAAAGGGATACTGTTCTAAGAATAGCGTAACCAGTTTTGCTGTTTTAAAATTACCATTTTTTAATGAGACATATTGAACATGTATTTCTTTATCTAATTAAGCGAATGAATTTGCAAAAGTATCTATATTTATTGTGGAAAATTGTGTCTTTGATGGTAAATATGGTACTGCCAATTTTTGTTTTATAATAATTAATAATAATTACATATTTAGTAGCTAGAAGATTTGCATTGTCGAGTTCTTATGCAGTTCAAAGCAGGTAATACAAACAAAATTTTGGAATTTAATATTACCAAAGATCCAGAAATTCTTATTATTACACATTTTGAACAACCAGTATTGATCGAACAGTATTATAGTAATTAAAAAAAAATACAAAATTTAAACATTGCCATGACTAATGTTTTCTATTTTCATTTAAGTGGTCGTATCATAAATCATAGATGTCTAGATTTTCCTGTACAGGTCAATTTTATATTTTTGGAAAACACAAAAGAAACTTACGCGAGCGTTAAAAGCAACTATACTTTTTGCCTCACGATTTATAATACGTAATACTTAAAGAGAGAGACTGCTGATTACGTCTCTCAAATCTGTACTACAGCAATTTTTGTTTTTTGACTCTTAAATGCTTCACGGCAAAGATCCTTCTATTGTGCAATATTCAAAATTAGTTACAAAGAAGGACCTAGACAAATTTGTCTCATTTTGTTGAAAAACAACCTATGGATGTCTAGAACGCTCACTCTAGATCTCCTTCGCCAAGGAAAGGAAAATCGTTTTAAATAAATTTTAATGGTGTCCGTCAGAATCCTCAAAGTTGTCGTTCCCCACATCTCTCCCCCGTTTGAGTAACGGTGCCATAAATTTCGAAAACAATAAGTGTTTGTCGGTGCCTGGAATTTGACATCCAAAACATTTCAGTCATATTGTTAATTAACAGGAATAAAATAAGACTTCGCTAATCTGGATCGGCCGACTTTATTACGAAACATACCAATTTTCAATCAATCATCAATACAAATAACTTTTTAGTTTTACTTACTCGGTAATTAAGCGCTTCAATAATGTTTTACGTCTATTCTTACTTGTTGTTTCGTAGAATATTTATTGCGTCATGCTATGGTACAATTCCGGCGTCAGTTCATTACAGAGCGCCCCAAAAATCATGATCAAATTAAAACAGAGAGCCGTCATTTTCGAATAATGGGATATTTTTTCCATTAAAATATATTTGGTGAAATTTTTGTTTCTCTTTTCTTCATATTATACTGAACACTTTTTGAGTTTCGTATACACTCATATGGTTTTAATGTTTGGGTAAATTTAGATGCAAAAATATTTCATTAAACAACTGAGAAATTACTAAAAAGACACTAGTGTGATGTTTCTTGGTATATTAAAGTGTATTTGCTGTTAAATGTAAAACGGTAACAAAAATTCATAAACTAATTCGCCATAATTCTTTTATGTTTTCCCTTTAGTAAGGACTTAATTTATTAACTTAAATCTTTAATGGATACAAAAACTAGAAAATGAGAAATGTGTTGGTCAACAAACATTCAAACGCTAGAAATTTGTAAAAATGGCTACAATTCGCTGACCACATGAATGTTTTAGTTTTTTAGTTTTATTTGAAACCACTACTCTGTCCTTCGTTTTATTTTGCTATATGACATTTCAGATCTCTATAAATGTGTGTGAGCATTCCTATCATTTTGTTTTTTGATATTAGAAGAAGTTATTTTTTTTATTGGGGTCTCTATAAATACTAACGTAAAGTTATTTTTACTTGAAATATTTTCGTGGAATATTTCTGTATTTAGTTTAAAAGATTGGAGGATTAATTTTTGTTAGACCTTTTAATTTTTTCTATATTTTTTGTTGCGGAAATTATTGCGCTTATATATATATATATATATATATATATATATATATATATATATATATATATATATATATATATATATATATATATATATATATATATATATATATATATATATATATATATATATATATATATATATGTCAACTTAATAGAAAGCAATTAAACGTAATATCGAACTAACTGAGTGCAACAAATAGCAACAGCGGAAATCCGAGAAACCTCTAATTTATCGACCAGGCACTATTAGTGTCGCAATTATTAATAATTGAAATATAGTCCGTGTATCGTGTATTATAGGTTCTGTTTTTCCGAAAACGCTGTAAAGAAAGCAGTTAAAAACAAATTTGATTTTTCGTGATTTTAGAATTTTAAAACTAGCTGTTAAAAATGTCTCATATTGAGACGGGCAAGTAATTGATAACTTTGTAATATGCAATATTTTTGCAATAACTATCGGTTTGCAGAGGAATTGAATTCTAGGTTTTGGTATTTAATTATAGTTCAATTTCGCTAGTATTCTATTTAAAAAAATATGTTGACTTTTTTAAAGTGATTTTTTTCATTTGGTGTAACTTGGGGGATTTTGCTAAAAAGTTAACTAAGAGTTACCATTGTTTCGCCCACACGGGCATCATCAGACCTTTAAATGAAGTTTTAAAAAAGAATAAAATAGTGTAACATAATTTTAGCAGTGTGCTTACAGATAACGCCGTCAACTTAAATGCACACAGGTGCCAATTGAGAGCATATTATTATTCATATAAAATTAGACATAATGGTATTTGTTGTTCTCATAACCAGTTAAGATAAACTTTGGAAGTAAAATTTTGTGCCTAATCGGGAATTATAAATTTTGATAAAATTCGTTGCTGCTTTTTGGATTATACGCTGCAATTTCCTTTATTTGATTCAAAATGGCAACTACGAAGGGTCGTCTTGAAATCAGAATTTGTGGAAGGACTCCCAAAAAAAAAAACAATTCAACATAGATGCATATGCCGACGGATGCCTTTCCTTGTCAGGTTTACGCCCTTTTAAAACTCGCAGAAAAAAAGAAAATCGTTCTTCGAATTCTGTACATGGACCGCGCAGTATATATCGCTTCCCTTTCTTGGCCTATACACTTTCCGATGCCGCTTCTTCCTATTTTTTGTTTCCAGCGATCTTCTTCGGCCGAAGGGGGATTTATGTAACGCGAGCGACCGATTTGACGACGCGCGGTTCTTTTATCCACCGAGAAGACCTTCTTCGACGACCGCATGATTTTTACACCCGACGGAAAACTGATCGCGATTTTTTCGTCAATCAATCGTGTTTTCTGTCAACGTTAAGCTCCAAGTTTTTGTTTGGATAAATATATTTGGTTTAGGGTTTGGATGATGGATGGAACTGAAACATCTCATTTTATATATATTTTAAATACTTATAAACAATACATTAGCCTTATTTAAGCCACCATCTACATCACAAATAATATTTCTTTATGTATTTTAGTTTATTTTTTTGGTTGCCAGATTTGAGGGTAGAACTTTTTATGTTTATTACCCTCGCCAGTATTTTTGGTTTACATCCGTGGATTTTCTTTATTGATTTGAAATTTTTAGCACTTTTTTTACACTTTGGAAGCAAAATGGAAAAAAAAACGTTTAGCCAAGTGCATCATTGCGTCATAAAATCAAGAAGGATTTAACTACCTTGATATGATAAAGGAAATTGGTTTGTGCTTTATTTTTAGACGAAAACTTTCTTAAAATACTGGCTTTTACATCGATTTAGCGGTTTTTTCTATTTTTTGCTATATTGAAGTGAAGCATTTTCTGCAACTTTTTGTTTTTAGATAACTAGCTAACTAAGTTGATCGGTGGACTTTTATTTCAAATAGCAATTCTAATACAATATTTAAACAAAATTAACATAAACAAAAACATCTGGCAGTTGAACTGATTACTAATAAGTGATGTCAGTGCCAATCAGAAGATGTTTGGCCTTTTAAATTTTCTTATTTTCTTTTGCTCCGGAAATTGCGGCGCTTTATGTAAATCTCAACTTTAAACAAAACAACCAAGTGCAACAAATAGCAACAGCTTATTTTTGAGAAATCTTTATTTAACGACAAGACACCATTAGTGCCGCAATTATTAATAATTGAGAAATAG